AGTATTGACTGAGTGGTGTGAATACTTATGTAAATAATTATTTCTCTATTTCATTTTCAATACATTTGCAAACATTTCTAAAAACATGTTTTCACTTTGTCATTATGGGGTATTGTGTGTTTTTCATCCATTTTGAATTCAGGCAGTAACACAACAAAATGTGGAATAAGTAATGGGGTATGAATACTTTCGGAAGGCACTGTACTTGGTGCCAGCTCCATAGTGTCCATCCAATTGCCTGTCTGAATTCAGGCATATTCCTACAGAGGAGACAGACAGGGAAAGGACAGAGGAAGCCAGTTGTAACACATATTTGAATAGCTATGATATGTGATCCTTCTAGTTCTCAACCCACATTCAGAAATGGGCTCCGTAGTTGGGAAATTCCAGTGGCATCCATCCATGCAGAAATGCAGTGTGAACCGAACAGCAGTGCAATGTCTTATTCTTAAGAGGACAAAACGCCACAACAAAGAAGCATGAAAACACTACGAGAACAAGTAAATATTCCCTTGGATAAATTCAGAGTTCCTAATGGATTTGGATTCCTCACGTCTAATTCCTTAGTGGATGAGATTTGTTATGATAAGAACCTCTGAGCATAAGTACTTGTTTTCTTAGGGGGGGGGGGGGGGGGGGGGGTGGTACCTTTAATCACACTGGCTTACAGTGCTTACTTGCAACAATAGAAACGACTTGTTCCCTATAAATCAGTTTTATCATGATATGAGCCTATCCTCAAATGGTCTTTGCAGATATCAAACGATGACTGTGCTTATGGATTTGAATTACTTATTCCTCTACGATAAAGCCGTTAGCCTGGGTTGACAGGCGGGCTGGACGGCACATGGTGTGACATCTTTCACCCAAGTCATAGCAGCTGATGTGTCTGTAAGCAATGCTGATCCATGAATGAGGTGAGTTGTGGCAGGTAGGATGCCTTTGGCACACCTGATAGTGAAAACACTTTCTTATAAATCAGATCAGGTTCCTCACTAGAAACTGGTTGGCATGTGTCAAGATGCAAAGTCAATCGATAAAAGGCTGTTGTTGTAGTGGTTTACCACAGCTAGCCAGTGTGCAATTGATAGACAGTTGTAGATAGACAGTTGTAGTGCAGCTGGTATGCTACTAAACCATAAAGACAGACAGGTGGTGGGTCCAGGTTTAGGGGGGACACCCCTACCTCCTGTACATCTTTCCACACCCTATAAGACAAAACCTCTCCACAGTTCTCAATAACCCTGGCTCTCTGTGACTTTTCACCCTTCACTCACCAACTCAAATATCAGGTGTACAGAAATCAAAGCAAAACGGTATCTTTCAGAGGTTGGTGTTTTGTAGCAGAATGCTGAATTTTTCAATATGTTTACTACTACAGTACAGTAGATGTATGTCAATCCATAGTAAGAATCATATTTATTTGTGTATATCTTCCTATTTCAACTCATTATCTGTCCTCTGTTGTATGTGGAGCTGCTAAGTATCCTGTATTAGTGACTTGGATGGTGTCACGATCGTCTGAAGAAGCGGACCAATACGCAGCGCGTGGAGTGAACATGATGACTTTATTTAATAAAGCAACCACGAAAAACAACAAATGACGATAGTGAAGTCCTCTGTAACACTGACTGAAAAGGAACAAAAACCCACAAACCAAGGAGAAACCACACAGAATAAATATGGCTCCCAATCAGAGATAACGAGCCGACAGCTGACACTCGTTACCTCCGATTGGGAGTCATATGACTAAACATAGAACAATCACCAAACATAGAAATGAACAACTAGACTACCCAACATAGAAATACACCCAAACAATGAAAATGAACAACCCTGGCTCAATAATCAAAGTCCATGGAGCCAGAGTGTCACAGTACCCCCCCCTAAAGGTGCGAACTCCGGGCGCACCAGCATACAGTCTAGGGGAGGGTCTGGGTGGGCGTCTGTCCATGGTGGCGGCTCTGGCCCAGGTCGTGGTCCCCACCCCACCTTAGTCACTATCCGCTTCCGTAGCCCCCTCCACCTGACCACCCCCCAACTAAACCCCACTGGATTAAGGGGCAGCACCGGACTAAGGGGCAGCAACGGACTAAGGGACAGTACCTGACTAAGGGGCAGCACCGGCCTGAGGGGCAGCACCGGACTGAATGGCGGATCCTGGCTGGCTGGCTCTGGCGGATCCTGGCTGGACGGCTCTGGCGGATCCTGGCTGGACGGCTCTGGCTGATCCTGGCTGGCGGAAGGCTCTGGCTGATCCTGTCTGGCGGAAGGCTCTGGCTGATCCTGTCTGGCGGAAGGCTCTGGCTGCTCCTGTCTGGCGGACGGCTCTGAAGGCTCATGGCAGACGGGCGGCTTTGCAGGCTCAGTACAGACGGGCAGTTCCTGCGGCGCTTGGCAGACGGACAGTTCAGACGGCGTTGGGCAGACGGGCAGTTCAGACGGCGTTGGGCAGACGGACAGTTCAGGCCCCGTTGGGCAGACGGGCAGTTCAGACGGCGTTGGGCAGACGGACAGTTCAGACCCCGTTGGGCAGACGGCAGACTCTGGCCGTCTGAGGCGCATCGTAGGCCTGGTGCGTGGTGCCGGAACAGGAGGTACCGGGCTGAGGACACGCATCTCAGGGCTAGTGCGGGGAGAAGCAACAGGGCATGCTGGACCCTGGGGACGCACCGTAGGCCTGATGCGTGGTGCCGGAACTGGAGGTACCGGGCTGAGGACACGCATCTCAGGGCTAGTGCGGGAAGCAGCAACAGGGCATGCTTGGCCCTGGGGACGCACCGTAGGCCTGATGCGTGGTGCCGGAACTGGAGGTACCGGGCTGAGGACACGCATCTCAGGGCTAGTGCGGGGAGAAGCAACAGGGCATGCTGGACCCTGGGAACGCACATAAGGGCTAGTGCGGAGAGCCGGAACAGGGCATGCTGGACCCTGGGGACTCACATTAAGCCTAGTGCGGAGAGCAGCAACAGGACGCACAGGACTCGGGAGACACACAGGAGGCTTGGGGCGTGGTGTAGGCACTGGTGGGAAAGGGCTGGCGACGCGCACCGTATCCCTGGTGCGAGTGGCCGGAACAGGCCGGGCCGGGCTGGCGAAGCGCACCGTATCCCTGGTGCGAGTGGCCGGAACAGGCCGGGCTGGGCTGGCGAAGCGCACCGCATCCCTGGTGCGAGTGGCCGGAACAGGCCGGGCTGGGCTGGCGAAGCGCACCGTATCCCTGGTGCGAGTGGCCGGAACAGGCCGGGCTGGGCTGGCGAAGCGCACCGTATCCCTGGTGCGAGTGGCCGGAACAGGCCGGGCCGGGCTGGCGAAGCGCACCGTATCCCTGGTGCGAGTGGCCGGAACAGGCCGGGCCGGGCTGGCGAAGCGCACCGTATCCTTGGTGCGAGGGGTCGTAACAGGCCGGACCGTACTGGAGGCACACACCACTGGCTCTACCCCGGGAACTGGAACGGGCCGGACTGGACTGGATACACACCTCAGTCTCTCACGCCGTGCCTCTACATCTCCTTTCCCTACTTTGGCCAGTGACCCCCGTAACCTGGTTGCCTCTTGAATTCGCCCCTTCTCTGCCTCCGTTAGCCCCGTCGTCCAAGCCATGTGCCCCCCCCCCAAAAACTTTTTGGGGTTGCCTCTCGTCCTTCCAACGATGATGGCCCTGCTGACGCCGTTGCTCCTCTCGCCGTCGTCTCTCCACCGTTTCGCTCCATGGACGGCGATCCATCCCATCCAGGATCTCCTCCCAAGTCCAGGACCCCTTTCCGTCCAAAATCTCCTCCCATGTCCAGGAAGCCTTTGGAGCTGGGTCCTGTTGCCGCTTGACACGCTGCTTGGTCCTTTGATGGTGGGTTTTTCTGTCACGATCGTCTGAAGAAGCGGACCAATACGCAGCGCGTGGAGTGAACATGATGACTTTATTTAATAAAGCAACCACGAAAAACAACAAATGACGATAGTGAAGTCCTCTGTAACACTGACTGAAAAGGAACAAAAACCCACAAACCAAGGAGAAACCACACAGAATAAATATGGCTCCCAATCAGAGATAACGAGCCGACAGCTGACACTCGTTACCTCCGATTGGGAGTCATATGACTAAACATAGAACAATCACCAAACATAGAAATGAACAACTAGACTACCCAACATAGAAATACACCCAAACAATGAAAATGAACAACCCTGGCTCAATAATCAAAGTCCATGGAGCCAGAGTGTCACAGATGGACCGTCCAACAACAGACCACAGACATCTTCACCAAGCAATCATAACTTGATCTCTCTCTCTCTCTCTCT